ATTCTTGCTCCGCCGTTCGCGAAAACGCGAAGGCGGCACGGGTACAGCTCCCCGGAACAACGGTGGGCGCGCCCGCGAACGCGAAGCGGCCCCAGTTAAATTTAGGAAATGATTGGTCGCTCATCCTTCCCTTTGCTGGGCGGGGCGGGGCGGGCGAGGGTCAGCAAAATGGGGCGCCCCAGCGGAGCCGAGGGGGCGGCGGCCCAAGGCCCGGTACCCCACGCCAGAAGCAGCGAGCCCTCTTTCTCCACATTTTTTTTTTCATCCGCCTGTTGAGTGCGGAAGCGGCGCCATCTTCGTTCCCGGGCTGGCGGCGATCGAAATGGTTCAAACCATAGAGGGGAGGAGTGTTTTTTCTGTTTTTGCTTTTTTGGCGAGGCGGTTTGCGCGCGGGTCCAAAAAAAAAACTTAGCCCGCGCCGCCCGCCTCCCAGGCTCGCTTTTACAGACGGTTCGCTCCGCCAGAGCGTTCCCAAACCCAAGCGTCCGCCCAGGACGAGCGGCGAAACTAACTGCCCCGCATTTCGTGGCGCATCCGCACGAACCGAAACGAACACCGCCCGCGACTGAGGGCCGGTTTGCGGGGCAAGCGGTGCCGCGTGGAAGGGCGTGGCATGGCAGGAATGCGGCAGCATATTCCCTGCTGCAAGAGCAGAAGCGGCAGCCCCACTCTGCGGCCACCGCGCCACCCAGTGAGCCCCACACAATCTTCCGCATTTCTTTTATAGGCCACACGCCCCCGCAAGGCTCTGCCACGGCAACGCATAAAAGTGGAAGCAAAAACGCCCCGCCACTGTCGCCACCAAGCCACACAACCCAAAAGAAAGGCCCAAAGACGGGGCACGACAAAGTGTCTGTGCGGACGCATCCACAGCAGCAGCAAACTCAGACAAAAGAAGCCGCCTACTCCGTGCCACGCTTCAAGACAATACCCCCACTCGCAGCGCCGCACCCGTAAGTAAAGAGAGAGAACCATGGTGCACGTTCACACTCTCGTTGTGCCCTTCTTCTCCCCACCGCCATGAAAGCAGGCAGCATCCTCCACGTGCACTGCAATATGTCAAGTCGTGTGTGCCTGCAGATACAAAAATTGAAAGAGAGGAAATAGGATCAAAGCGTGTGAGGACGCACATACACACACACAGAGGAGAGGTGCAGGACGCAAAGAGGAAAAAAGTAAACAACCAAGACTCAAAATGGCACAGCAGCCTGCGCAGTGGCAAAACAAGAAAAATGATTCAACAAAAAGAAATTACTCCTAAAATATTTCTCACAAAACAAAAACAAAAAAAAGAATGTCGTGGAAGGCCCCTGTGCGATCCCCACAGTTCCACTCACATTTTGGCCGCATATAAAAATAAATTACATATTCACTTCAATTACCGAGAGCCCCCGGTGTCCAGACACCGTTTGACTTCCACAGGGACCCGCAGTGCGTTGCTGTGACTCTCATTCCTTCCTTCCTCCTTCCCTCTCCCATCGGCGGACACACAATGCCGAGAGCATCCGCAGTCGCCCAAGAGAAGCGGTTAGTTGTTGCTTTTATTCGTGTCTTTTCAAACGAATTCGATGGCCTGCGCGTCAGCCAGCACCGTGGCACAGATCCGCCCACGCCAAAAAACAGGACGTAAAAGAGAGAGTCCCGCTCCCTCCTGCGGCAACCGCAGTGCAGAGGAGCAGTGAAGCATCTCATGCTGCCAGACAAACATGCAGGCACAACGCAGTCGTCAAGAACAAACCGACAAAACAACAACCAACGAAATAACACATCCGTAAAGCAGTAAACCAACAAAATACTAAACCAATACAAAAAAAAACGGTGAATAGCCTTCAGTTATTCACAGTGGCTCGTAATACAAAAAAACAAAAGGACGGAATGAAATACATGAGGACCCCGCTGTAATGGCGCCGAGAGGAGAGCGCAATTTGTGGGTCAAAAAAAAAGAAAAATAACACAAAATGCATGTCTACATGAGACTGACTTGTAAAAGCGCGTGGAGAGACGGAGGTGCTCTCAGTAGAAACATCAACTTCCCTCCATCGGGCTCCACTCAGCACAGAACCGCAAGACCCCATAGCCCCAATAGCAGAATTAGCACCCGGAACCCATCCGCACGCGTGGAGCTGTCACTTGTACTTTGCTCAGAGGCATTGGAGTCGTCAACCGTTTTGAGTTCCTGCTCACTCAGTGGGCGGTTGTACAAAAAGGCATTCTTTACTGTCGCACTGCTGTCTTCGCTGTCGCCAAAGTAAAAATGAGAGATATCATGCCTCCGTGCCTCACGGGTTGGTAGTGTGTCGGAACTCCCCACGAGCACGCCGTCCACGTACACGAAGCCCTTGTTGTCCTGCAGCATGATCGCCACTTTGTACTCCCTCCCCGGCTCCCAAGTGCTGTTGTGTATTGTCGTGATGCCGTTGAAGACTGTCCCCCACAGTTTCTTCGTCGTGTACGATAGCCCCACAAACGTCGTGCTTTCATTGTCCTCCAGATCTGCGCTCAGTAGAAGAGCGTTGGCTTCCTCTGGAACCTCATGGATCATCACCGCCGCCACAAGAGTGAACTTGTTGTTCGCAAAGTAGTACGGCTGGTTCTGACCCAGTTTGCCCACCGGCCACTCCGCCCCCGCTCCTGCGTCTTCGAACGTCGCACCCCACCCGTCGTTTGCCAGTTTTCCATTCGTTGCAGTTGCGTTCACGCCGAGGTACTCGTCTTCCCATGTTTTGCTGTCAGCTGACTTCCCAGACAAAAACCCAACCAGCCCTTTGATGGGAATAGAACCGTTACATACCCCCTTTACTGTTCGAGGGTTGGGGCTGCCAGCGGTTTTGCATGCGAGCAGGGCATTGTCCTTTTCTTTCCAAGCCTTCACCACGCTCTTTATCTGCTTCAGCGTCCCAGTCAGGTTCACAGCGACAAGACTGTATGAATCTCCGTTCTTCTTCTCGTACTGTAGAATCAACTCCTTCTTATCGGCTCCGTACAGCAGGGAGCTGGCGGCAGCATCATCACCTTCACGAGAAACCGGCCCAACGTCATGCACACGGGCATTGTCTGTCATCCAAAGATGCAGCCGACCCTCTCCCTTCTCCTCAGAATACACCGGCGTGGTGAGCAGCATCACCTCCGTTTCTTCAACCTCTGCAGTGGTGAAGCTGCTCCGGACGCCGTCCCGTTTTCTATCACGTGAGTTGCCCCACACGCGGGAAATTGGCGCACCGTTCGCGTACCAACTTGTACCAGCCCTAGTGGACTCGTACACGTCGTAGGAGCCTCGCTCACAGGGAGCCATCATGAGGAGTTTCTGGTCTTCACCCCACTCCACAATTGATGGATCTTTGCAGTCCTCACCGGCCGTGTCCTGTGAAAGCTCCCATTTCTTCTCTGACGGGGTGAAACGCATAGACAACAAAACATTTTTCCCTTCATTGTTTGTAGCCTGCATGGGAAACACAAGCGTACCGTCACTCAGCACAAGACCCGACCCTCCGCTGCCAACCAACCGAGTCAAAGATCCATGAGTTTCAGATTCAATCTGCACTGCATGGGTCTCACCCCATTGAATTCTTTTTTCCTCATCATTGGTTCCACTGACTGCTCCCTTCACCAGCAAAAGCTTCCAGCCATTTTTACCGGAAACTTCAGATTCAGATCTTGCGCGGCTGTATTTTCCCAGCAGCATGTAGACATCGCCGCCACGTACAATTGTGGTTGGCTGCACTATCTCCGGTGCATTGCTGCCAGCCACATCATTTGTCTCTTCAAGCTGCATACAAAATAGACTTGCGTCTGTCGTCGGGATCTCCTTTGCGGAATCAGAAATTTGATGGAGGAGCACCGATGCAATACCAGCAAAGCTGGAGGCTTCTTCGCTGCCTTCTTTCTTCTTGCACTGAGCTTCAGCAACAGCAAACACATGCTCCCCAACCCTCACAAGGCTGCGCAGACGGAGTGAAGTGACTGATGCACCAGCTTCTCCAATTTCTTTCCATTTCGCACCAGATACATTCGTCGTACTGTCAAATGGATTAATAGCCACATTTGAATTACTCTTTGCAGTGACCACAACCGCACTGCAGAAGCACATCGACAGCATGCAAAGGGGGAGAAACAGCAGCGCAGAAGAAAACAAATGCCGCGGCATGCTGGACATGTGTCGTTGCTCTCTCTCTCTCCCTTCCCTCCTTGTGCTGGATCCACTCAAACCGCAACGATTGTGTGTGTGGTGACTGCAGAACCCTCAAAGTACAAGCAGCCAGTAGCGTTTGTTCTCTTTTCTTCGTGTGTTTGTGGGATAAACAAAAAAGTAAGGTAACGCCAATATATATAACAATAGGCACCGCCCGCGCCCACAGTTGGGCACACCGCAAAAAAAAAAAACCATAACAAAGGCTGCAGAATCACACACTCACCGCCCCCCACAAGAGACGGCAGCCGCAAAGACGGCTGGCGGTAGCAGCAACTGTTGTGCGCAGCCCTGAAGAAACACCCACACGCACCCGCACGGAGAGTCTGCAGTGTGGGACGCCCCCTGCAGAAATCAAAAATCAAAAATAATAAACAAATTCATAAACAACTCGCTTACCGTCTCCCCCGCCCAGCCCCTTCAAACCCCGCCAGCGGCAACACGCAGTGCGCATGACGGTGGGACCTCCCATCACGGCCCCCACAAACTCCCCAACGCCGCCCACTTCCCTCAGCGCAACGCAGCAGGAGTGGGGCGTAGCGTAACAAACAAAAATAATAATAAAAATAAAAAAAGACGCATGCAGCACCACCACTACAAGACACACGCAGCAGATGCCTCCACTCTGCGGCCACGAAAACAAATTCTTGCAGTGGCACCGCCACCAACAACCCAAACGTAATCGCCCGCCTCCCAGCCGCACCGCAGTGCTCGTGGAAGTTGAGCGCCTCAAAAAAGGCTAAGGGGGAAAAAAAAAACGCTTCAACCACCACGCACGGCATGTACCCCTCCGTACGACATCGCCACCCGACACTGACGCACCTTCCGGTGCCAAAAAACGAGCCGTGTTCTCCTCCTCTTTATGGTGAGCAGCAACTGGGGGCGCGACGGCGTCACACCCCGCCACGTGTGTGATTTGGCGCACTCGCAGCGTGCCACACGCAAATAATTTCCCCCTCGACAACTCGTCGACAAAAGTTTCCCCATTTTATTAAATACACCTCGCTGTGCACTCACCGAACTGCCTCATTGTGCCGGCATCGCCGCCGCAGCCTGCGGCCCAACCGTCCTCCCACGCCGGAAATTCACAATAAAATGCCTCTACAGAAAGAAAAAGTTTCCGGTTGCCGTTCCGTGCAACGCCCCGCACTTAACATCAATCATTGCAGCGGGAAAGTTCTTTCTGGGTCAATCTCAAGGCGTTTCCTCCGGGCGCGATTCCGGCATCACCCGCAGCACGCAGGACAACGCCAGACCTCCTGCTGATGACCGCAGCCCCACAAGTCTCTTTTGTGGCGTGCCCACGAAGGTCCTCCCCGTGTGTGGGGCCTGAACACATGTTCTCAGGACTTTTAAAAAAAGCGAGATCCACACGGTGACAGTGACAAGGCCTCCTTGAAGGCCAGTACGTCAGTTCAACAGTTATATACATTTCCCTTAATCCATCCACACAAAGGCACGGTACGCATCCCCTCAAAGCCGCATTCGTCACGTATCCGCACAATTTTCACAGGTTTCCGGCACGGTTCCCCCGCACACCAAAATTTCTATTCCTGCCGAGCAAAGGAAGGCTCTGGCAACCGAGGCATCAACCGCCTGCAAGACGCTGTTAACTGCCTCATTGCACTCAATGAACTCAGCCCCAGTGAAGATGAAACGTGGAAGCGGTCCAACGTCATCCATGCGTCTGCTGACCATCTGCCAGTACTAATCTT